CTTTTTAAATATTCCCCAGAAAAAGTTGCAGCTTGTTGCACCCTTAGGCACCGTAATTTTAAGTGTTTAGAAATACTTTCACTAAAAATCTGAATTATATATGAGGAAGCAGTTATAATCATCTAATTAAAAACATTAACAAGCTTATAAGAAATTTGGAAAAATAAAGTATTGCTTGTTGGCCATATAGCAACAATAAAAAATGATAGTACTCCCCAAATGACTATTTCAGCTGCTGCTATTTTACACAGGTAGCAAAAATTAAGAGGGGTTTATTTACGCCTTGTAAAAAGAATTTTTAAAGTGACAAAAGTCAACAGAAGAGTGCATTCACAATAATAAAAATATTCATAAAATTAAAATTTTCATATAGACATTCAATTTTTCAATTTTCTATGAAAAATATGAAGAAAATATTAAAAATATAAAATATATTTGTGGTCTTTGATTCTGGCTGAAGCAAATACAAGAACTTGCTTAGTTCTTGCTAGATATTGTGCAGTTTTTGTTATTCTTCAGAAAAAATGTATTGGATGTCTGGAAAAAGTACCTAAAAGAACAAGAAAAATGTAGTACCTACTTTACAAGCGTTTGCCCCCTTTTTTGGTTATTCTATGAGACCAACTGTATGTTTTGTATTAACTGATTTAAAACAATTCTATGGCCATAATTTTTAAAGCAGAATGGGCAAACTGCTATGATAAATTTTAAGCAAAGTTGTATATACAATTTTAGTAAATGATAATCTCCCAAGAATAAAAAAAATAAACAATTGCATTCAGTCTATAGTCTTCCTATCAAAGGGGCAGATGTAACTCAGTCTTTAAAATTGCTTTAATTTTAATTAATATATGTGTGCTCCAATAGAATAGAATAACAGAGTTGGAAGGGACCTTGGAGGTCTTCTAGTCCAACCCCCTGCTTAGGCAGGAAACCCTACACCACTTCAGACAAATGGTTATCTAATAAAAACTTCTAGTGTTGGAGCATTCACAATTTCTGTAGGCAAATTGTTCCACTGATTAATTGTTCTAATTGTCAGTAAATTTCTCCTTGGTTCTAAGTTGCTTCTCTCCTTGATTAGTTTCCACCCGTTGCTTCTTGTCCTACCCTCAGATGCTTTGGAGAATAGCTTGACTCCCTCTTCTTTGTGGCAGCCCCTGAGATATTGGAATCCTGCTATCATGTCACCCCTAGTCCTTCTTTTCATCAAACTAGACATACCCAGTTCCAGCAACCATTCTTTATGCTTTAGCCTCCAGTCCCCTAATCATCTTTGTTGCTGTTCTTTGCACTCTTTATAGAGTCTCAACATCTTTTTTACATCATGGCAACCAAAACTCGATGCAGTATTCCAAGTGTGGCCTTATCAAGGCATTATAAAGTGGTATTAACACTTCACATGATCTTGATTCTATCCCTCTGTTTATGCAGCCTAGAACTATATTGGCTTTTTTGGCAGCTGCTGCACACTGCTGGCTCATATTTAAATGATTGTCCACTAGGACTCCAAGATCCCTCTCACAGTTACTACTCTTGAGCAAGGTACCACATATACTGTACTTGTGCGTTTTGTTTTTCTTGCCTAAATGTAGAACCTTCTCTTTTTTCACTATTGAAGTTCATTTTGTTAGGTAGCTCCCAATGTTCAAGTCTGTCAAGATCCTTCTGTATCTTAAGCCTATTTTCTGGAGTATTGGCTATTCCTGCTAGCTTGGTGTCGTCTGCAAATTTGATGAGTTCCCCGTCTACCCCCTTGTCCAAATCATTGATGAATATGTTGAAGAGTACTGGGCCTAAAACAGCCTTGGGGTACCTCACTGCATACTTCCCTCCATGTAGATGCAGTTCCATTGAGGACTACAAGTTGAGTGCAGTTGGTCAGCCAGTTATCTATCTGGTGGTGATGCTGTCTAACCCACATTTTTCTATTTTATCAAGTAGTAAGTTATGGTTTACTTTGTCAAATACCTTACTGAAGTCAAGTAAATTATATCAACAGCAGTCCTCTGGTCCACTAATTTTGTCACTTTGTCAAAGAATGCAATAAGATTAGTTTGGCATGATCTGTTTTTGACAAACCCCTGTTGGCTTTTGGTTATTACTTTGTTTGCTTCTAGGTGTTCGCTGATTCGTTGCCTGATTATCTTTTCTAGAATCTTTCCTGGTATTAGGAAAGGCTGATGGGTCTGTAGTTTCCTGGATCTATTTTCCCCCTTTTTTGAAGATGAGAACTATATCAGCTCTTTTCCAGTCCTCTGGCAGTTCCCTGGTGCTCCAGGATCTTTGAAAGATATAACTCAGTGGTTCTGAGATCTCGTCTGCCAGTTCCTTCCAAAAATTGGGGTGTAATCCATCCGGTCCTGGTGATTTGGACTCACCTAGGGTAGACAGGCGCGCACTTACCATTTTCTTCCCTATTTTAACTTGTGTTCCTAATCTCTTTTTTCTGGCGCTGTTTTTGATGGGTTGCCCTGTTTTTTCCTTTTGTGTAAAGACAGATACAAAAAACGAGTTCAGTAGTTCTGCTTTCTCCCTGTTGCTTGTCACCTTCTTGCCACTTTCTTCCAGCAATGGACCAATTGCTTCCTTCACTTTTTTCTTGTTTTTAACATGTTGGGAGAAGCTTTTTTGTTATTTTTTACTTTTGTTGCAAGCCTGTGTTCATTGTGAGCCTTAGCTTTCCTCACTTTACCTTTGCAGGCTCAGGCTATTTGCTGATATTCTGCCTTAGTTATGTGCCCCTCTTTCCACTTTTTATTCTTATCCTTTTTGTCAGAGAGTTCTTTATGCAACTTTATGCTGTTATTTTTCTTCTTCATTGGTATTGTGCTAGTCTGGGCTTTTATAATCTCACTTTTCAAAATTTCCCAAGCTTCTTGGGCTGTTTTCCCCTTGAGGAGTCTCATCCATGGAATCCTTCCCAAGCTCTCTCTCTTTTTGAAGTCCAAGACTCTTGTTTGACTTTGGTCTATTGCTTGTGCTTGCATAATGTTGAATTCCAATATTGTATGATCACTCTCCCCCACCGTTCGCGTAGCTTCTATCATTTCATCTCTGATCTTTGTATATAACACGTAGCTATGACAATAAGCAACATGCACACAATTCTTCTACACAACCTCTTTTATATTCCTTATGGAAACCAATCCATGAGAAATGGGCCATTGTCCCAGATCATCAACTATTCCTGTAGCAATTCTAAACATACTTCAGAAATATATAGACTTTACTGGCAGTCCAGTGAAACAGTGTACAATACAATAACAACTTTTTTTTTAATAGTGAGAAAATTCTATAATAATTAGCTAACAATTGATAGCATGAGAAGAGGAACCAGATGGTTTCTAACAGCTATAGCTATTAATATGAAATTTGAAACCTTCTTAGAGGTTCCTGGAGTGATCACCCAAGAGAAGGACAACAGCCTCCTGATCACAATGGCAAGAAGAATTATTAACAATTGGAAGTATTAAATTGGATTGCCAATTTTTGATCACATGACTAGGGGGATGCTACGACAGTCAGAACTATGAGAATGACTTATAGGTTGCTTTTTCAATGCCACTGTAATTTCAGACGGTCACTAAACGAATGGCTGTAAGTTGAGGACTACACATGTATCTTGCAAGTTGATGTTATACTCCATTTAGTTTGAGGCTAGCTTTTCTGAATAATCTCTGCAATAAATTATTATACCTATGTTCTTACTGTGACTCTGAGAGAAAGCCCAAAGCATTAATTATTTGCCTGTGTAAAGCATTTTTCAAAACTTCTCTTTCAAATAGCCCTTTACTTAGGTTTGTTTTCAATACCATGGACAACTATAGATAGCTTTCTTAATGACATTGACCCTTTATTTTTACCATCTTGCTGCTGTTGTTCTATACCTTCCCTTTGTTTTCTCAGTCTTTACTTCCTTATTCTGTCCTTAATTGTTTTGATTAAAATTTTGCCTCAGTTGACTTACAGTTATCTGAATCTGGCTCAGTTAACAATTGCTGTTTAAATGCGAAATTTGTATGGTAACTGAAATTCTTTTTTCTTAATTTCTTAATTTTCTACATGAAAGATATTGAAAAAATACTTTAATACTATATCTTTCAAGCTATACAATAATTAAATACAAAATGAAACTGCAATACTTAACACCCAAAGGCATCTCTAGACCATCAAAGCAGCACTTTATTTTTATGAAAAAAATTAAGAGAATTTTCTGTTACTGATAGCCAAGCTTGATTTTTTTAAAATGGAAGATTCTGTCATGTAAATTAGTCTGATAGCCTATAGAACTACTATAGAGACATATGTTTTTGTTTTACCTGTTACCTATACTACAAAATTGAGGCTGTAGAGTGGTGTTAAATTTTCTCAGAAGTGCTAAGCAATAGTTGACCTAGATTTTAATGAAACGACAATATTTCTTAATTAAAACTTTAACCCAGAGGTTAAAAACATTTTTTTCTTTTGATTCAAGGATAGGTGTGTTATAAGGACTGAGAAAGAAAAGATTGAAGATACTGACAGTGAGGGACAGGTTACCTTACATTTTCTTCATTATTTCAGATCATCTATGCTAAGATTTGATGAGATACTAATTCCCTTAAATGTAATTATTAAATTAGGGCAAATATCAAATGTAGTTCACCATGTTGCTTCCAGTCAACACAACATAAGCATTCCCTTTTCACTGGCCTTGTTTGGCAACTCTCAACAAATCTATGGTGTTATTCAATTTATTTTGCAATAATGTTTTTTTGCTAACATAAACTTATTTCTCTGATATTCGTAGAGAGTTTTAAGATATAACACAATTTCTTCTCTGTTACTGATTTGTTTGAATTCCTACCAAGGTCAAATATAAGTTGCATTATTACAATTACCATTGTGTTTGAGTTGCATAAATTGAGTATTACTGAAGCCAGTTTTTTTTAAAAGAGAAGCTACTTAAAAATACTAATACTAGTTTGTATAACTTCCTTTATTGTGTCTTTTTTTAGGGCTTCTTTAGTAGACGGCTTAGAGGCTCAATCAAAAGAACAAAGAGCCAATCTAAACTAGATAGGAATACCAGCTTTCGTCGTCAGACCATTGAAGAAAGGTAAGACACTGTGTGGAGGGCAAAAGGATGAGTTGTTTTCCAAGAATTTGGTGAGGTATATTAATCTGCAGTAGTACGTATAAAACCACTAAGAAGTTTCACTTAAAATAAACTGACATTTTTTATCAGAAATGTTCCACTTAAGTTTTACAATCTACAGTTTAAAAATCAAGGAAACCTTTGCCATTGGTTTGGTGTTTTCATATGCAATGAAAAGTTTCACCTTAAGTTTGGCACCTTAAAGGTTTACATTTTTTATCATAGTACAAGCGTTTCCCTAATAAACTACATTCTACTTCACAAAAGCCTTTATCATGGGATAGTAATTGCTTTTACTGGAAACGGTACCACTAAGTTAAGTGTTGCACTTGACAAAAGAGTTACAAAATGCTAAAGAATATATTAGTTGTCTCCTGGGCATTAGTTAATAGTGAACCCTGAGTACATACAGCTTCTTTTAAAGATAAATTAATATTGTTATCTTTCTAATATATGTATGTATCAAGAATACCTTTTAAATGGTTTATTGTGATATTATACTCTGACCATGAGAAACCTAAAATAAGACCACTGATTTCTCCTGGTCTCGTCCAAAATAGAAAAATCTCCTATTTCATGAGTAACTGCCAAGCTCCAGGGAAATCAGGAGATTCAGGCAGTTCAAATGAATTTAAAGACTTATTGCAACTTTAAGCTCTCTATAGAAGTCTGACCTATTAATGGTCAAGGGAAATGAGCAGGAATAAGAAGACATTCAAATGGGTTGGACTTAGATCTCTTGTGGGCATACAGGGACTCATGACTTATGATGTGCATAGCCCAAATGAATGGCAGTCCTTGGGCAATCTTGACTTCATTATGAAATACCAGGCTGAACTTAGTACTCAGTAAATCCTAGAAAAAGGTTCTGGCAAATTTGTGTTATTGACAAGAAGACAATATGGTCATGTCCAGGAGTTGAATTCAACTTGACAGAGAATGTATCGAAAACGTAACTACTTTAGTTTGAAAACTGGACAATTTTCAATAATTATTTCAAAATTGTTCAGTTTTGCATTAATGGATGTTTGGAGAGGGAGGATTATGATAAAAAAAGAAGAAATAGAGAAGTGTTGGTTTTGCAGTAATTGAAAGAACAGACTGGTTCAAGAAGTTCTAGGACAAATATATTGACTTCAGAGTTAAAAAAAAAAAAAAAGGCCTGATTTCCATTTGCAAAGTTGTTTAGTATTGTTACAAATGCTTCATTGTAGAGACATTTTGGCTCCTAATTCTACTTCATTACATTCTAACAGCTGGTGGTTGAGTGAACTGAGTTTTTTCCCTAACAGCTAACATGAAGGTTCAGCTGGTATATGTGAGTAATGTGATAGCATTGGCAGCATTGATGGAAGTCATTAGTGCTAAAGTTTCTGGTGCAGACAGCACCCATTTCTTTCTGAAATGGCTTGTTTTAGCTTAATGATTGTTAGTATATTAATGCATTTATCTCTGGTAGTCTTTTAAGTTTCCATTCTAATGTTAAAAATAGCTTGCAGTTTCTTAAGTTTTTGGAACGTTTCTGTTTCTTTTATCTTTTTTAAAAATATTGTCTTCATCAAAAGAAAGCCATATCTTTGTGGTTATTTCTCAGAGGCTTACTTCTCTTGGAGCTTAATACAATTAATCTGTTCTCAAATATAATCATGGTTGGACATCCCCAAGTCAAGAACAGAATTGTTTGATCCTTCAAAAATGTTATTTAACTTAGTGCTTCCTGTCATTGTGAAGAACTGGCAAAGAGAAGCAAATAGAAACAGAGATGAGCAAGAGGAGTCCTAACTCTTGCAGAAATAATAATCATTTGCATCATGGGTGTAAATATTGCTGTGCCTGATGAATATCTTGGAAAAACTGTGGCATAAGATGTAAGTGCCCAAACCAGCTTTCTTTGCAGCTATTGCTGCTCATGCTTTAACCATTGGGACCCTCTTCTGAACCAGGCATGGTCAGTTTAGTACCACCAATCATGTAGCAACAAACCCTTGTTAACAGTCATCATTTTTCAGGCTGTATTCAAGGCATAGAATCACCTCAGGTTTGGGGGAAAAGAAATGGAATGACCTTCCTTGATACTAAAATTGATGGGCACTTTTGACTGGACCAGGAGATTAAAGGGACTAGACCAAGGAAGCCAGCTTTCTAAGTAACAGCCCTCCCTATTACATAAGTCCTTGGCATTAGCCTGTATTCTTTTTGGATAAAACATTTTTATATTTCATACGCCAGTGATGAAATTCTGGCACTCATCTGGGTTTTGTGATTTTCTTAAAATGAGAATATGGATATGTTTTAATGTATATATTTATAGTTTAGATTTTTTTATGTACAATGCCCACAGTTACTGAGACTGGACTGGTCTATAAATACTGTCAAATAGAAATTATTATGTATTCATTCTCTGCTGGCTTTACATAGATAATATGGATTAAAATGATCTTATTGCCCTTCCCCTTGTGTCTTAACTGAAAAACAAGAATGAAAACAATACAAATATTAAAGTGATTTTTTATTGCATACAATTCAAATACATTAAATCCTTTCTTAATTTTTTGACTAAATTTGTTTACAGTCAGTCTACAGTCACTAAAAGACAATTTTTACTTACATTACACTATTTCCTTGGCAGTCTCTACCAAACAGAAATAAATTTTATTTGCAGAATTTCCTTATAAGTTTCCCATTGCCTCCCCCCCCCCCACACATATAACACCTGGCAAAATTCCCTAATTGCACCTGAGACTGAGGTTTGACTGAGGTTTCTGTATAATTATTGCATATCTGTGGAACTGATTTCACAATAAAACATGGAAGCTGCTGTCCACCCTAGCCTTTAAGAAGATTTTGTATCTTTTTATTAAGCTACAGAATTTTGTGTGGGTGTTTGAGAGAGAGATGGGTAGTCTAAAATTGGATTAGTTAATGGACTTTCTTTACTTTTTTCCCCCCTGGCAATGGACTTACTGTATTTACCAGTTAGAGAAACTAAACTTAACTGAATATAAACATTTTCATGTTCAATTTATTATGAAAATAAAAATAACCAAGTCTCATATTTCCATCATGGAATCTTTCAATTATAACAAAGACAGAACAGGATTATTTTCATATGAAAAATAGCTGTATATATTTGTATTTCATCAGATTTATACTATAGAAACCCAGGAGAAGACTGCAGCCAACTAAAGAACATTTTAACTGAAATTGTAGAAAACCTTGTGATGTCTTGATCAGTAGGAATCAGATCCTTAAATGTGTATAATTCTGCTTTGATGTAACAAGTGTTCTCTCCTTTTTGTAAGCTTTGTTTTTGTTTTTGACTTGCCATGAACAGCTGTTCCCAGCTATTTGTGTATCACACGCACTTTCCAACTTCTTAGAAATCCCCCTGCCATTGCAGGTCTCCCTTAGCAGAGCCTGAAGTAAATTATCCTTCCAGGACAATCTCATTTCTGATACTGCCTGATATGCTTCATCTTGTACTTCAGGCATATTTTGATCTCCGTACTCCATGAAGATTGTTTGGAGATGCAAGAAATTATATTGAATCGGACACATGTTTCTCCCTCTATGATTCTTGTCTGCTGCTTTGTTTTGCTCTTTATGCAGGTGATTAAGAAAGTTAAAATAATCCTGCATTTCACTTGTGAAATTTTGTTTTAAAAAAGAAAAGAAAAACCTACCAAGTTTTTATATTGAGTACATAGGCAGTTGATTGTACCAGTTAGGTAATGTAAGGGATTGATGATTTTTCTTACTGGCCCTGGAAATCCTTCCTTTTAGTTTTTCTTATAATGGGAGACGAAGGGCAGAATGATGGCTAAGATAGATTGCATATGTCAATGGCTGCAGTTAAAGCTCAGTGGACAGCTGGGAGAGGTTTTACCTTCTTGGGATTTATTGCCATGTGAAAATCGGCCTGATTTAGTAAAAGTCATTTTATGGTATTATCAGACAGCTGCAGATTGTCAGAGGATCCTCTCCATACTTCCAGAGAATGGCCTCTCCTGGGCTCTGCAGTATCCAATAGCCATGGCTTTGGGGTTCTTGGTGAAACGGTACTCTTTCTACTCTAGGTGGGTCTTTTTTTTTTTTTTTGGAGAAATGTCATCTTGCAGTACGAAGAATCCTGGCAGATCAGCTTAACAGTGTCATACTGCAGGCTTTCCTTTTATATTTTTCATGACTTTCTTGCCTGGTTTCTAACCCTGATTTATAGCAAGCACCAACAATGGGGTGGGTTGATTTGCTTCTGTTTGATGTGAAGGAGTAAAAGTCTGCTAGCCGTTTTGCCTCATTGCTGCTTCATAATCCGTATATAATATTTCTGTGAATATTGTGTGTTTGAGTGGTCCTACTACTCTGTTCTCCTTCAATGAATAAGAGTTGGTAAGCCTGCTGCACAGAAACTAACACCAGTAGAGTGTCTCAGCTTGCCAACCTGAAGTCAAGGATGTCTTATTTCTTCCTGCCAAAAGTAACGTAGCAAGAGACTTTTGTTTGTTTGCCATCAGTTATTTCACCCCATTGTAGACTCTGTTAAGTTGTGCCATAGGACCCCAAGTTAGCTGGAATCATTCAGTAAAAGAGCCTTTTCAAAGTTTTTTAAAAGTAGCAAACAGTAGCGGATAGTTAATGATTGCAAAGGGACCCAGAACCCTGTGAAAAAATGGTAGTTTTGGTTTTCCACCACATTCTATGTTGGCAATTTTCTCACACACATGTATACATTTAAGTAGCAAGTATAGTGCAGTCTCTGGTTCTTACACTTCAGACTTGAAGATTGGCTTTTACAATTTATCATTCTTTTTTCTGCTAAGCCTGAAAAAGAAAGTTGCCCAAGGCTGTTCAGTGAGTCTACAAACCAAACTGCAATAAGGACCTAGATATGGTTTACTTCCTATTTGCTTGAATATGTCATGCAGTGTAAGGTTTATAAGTGCAAGCATTTCAGTAGGAAG